ACGAGATACAAAATTTATTATAGAAATTCTAATGAAAGAATTTTTTGTTTTTTTTTTATAAAGAATATATTCTATTTAAATCGCAAGGAAAAGGACATACAAGGCAATGATTTGATAGTCATAGAGTTTAAGAGAGTTGTTGAGAGATGAATGCTTAAGCATAGAATTAGCTTGAGCGTTAGAATATCAAAAGCTTTAAAGATTAGAGGAACCAAGAAAACAGAAGCTCACTTGAGTTTCCTATATTTATGGACCACGAGACCACTACCACCTCGAGTACCACTGGCACGGTTTCCGCGTCCACCAACGGCAGTCCATTGCATTTCTTGGACTTTTCGAATTGGTTTGTTGTGCCTTCCTCCTAGAGTCCTCTGTGCTATATCATATCCGGATTCAAAACTTGAAAAAACTCCAGTTTCAAACGCAGTAAAAGGATTACTACCAGTGACACATGGAGCCTCATCTTCGATTTTTGCTTGTGTTGTTCTTGATAGAGAATGAGCAGTTGAAAACACATCATCTACAGCTGGTATAGCTAGTAAAGAAGTTGCAACGTTAGTGTTAATAAGAGCAATCTCATTAGAGGCTCAACTGATGAGTAGAGTCACGGCCATTGCAGTCTCATTAAGAGTTGAGTTTTCTGGAATGATCTTGATACATTCATCGATTTCTAAAATCTCAATGACTGTGGAAGTAGTTTCTTCAATCCCATAATGAATGAACTCTTGAAATAGTCATTATTCTTATGTTGCTCTTTCTTATTTTAATATATTTTGTTAGATTGTCAATTTAGTAATTCCTCATTATTTGTTGGGTTTGAATATCGATTGTGACCAAAAAAAACATTGACATTATTTAAAAAGCATAAAACGGATGCTAGCTGAATTGCTAACGCTTCATTCTTTCTTTTTTCTGGTCAAACTTGCTAATACTTTTTAAGTTCTTAGTTCTCTTACTTCTTTCCGTGATTTCTTATCATAAAAAATTAAAAATTATTGTTTTGTTTAAAAACGATTCGTGTACTATATTGTTTGTATAAAAATGATTTATAGACTTTGTTCAACAAAGAAAGTTTCTTTGCTTAAAGTTCTGGGAACATAGTCGCACAAAAAGTTGACATGGGCAAACCTTGGTCCTTGACACAAACTTAAATATACAGCAGTAAATACACTACACAAAGGTATTAACAACTGAATAAAATTGGTTTTAAATTACATTTACTTTGTTATTTTTTCACTGGCATAAATACTCATGCAAAAAACAACTTTGATCTGCAAAATCTTGGATACACTATACTACATATCATCATTCTTATTAATATCTTATTGTCAAACAATTTACTACGACAAAGTCAATTAGGTCAACATTTTAAACTTACGTAGCTTCTTGCGTCATACATGGTTGATGGAGAAGGGAAAATTATCATAACATTCATCAAAGATTTGGTGTCAACAATTACAATTTTTTTTTTTTATAAAAAATAATTACAACTTCACACACTTAAATACTTAATAGCTCACAAACTCAAAGTACAATATGTTGTACATGCTCTATATCCAA